TGTGAGGGTCTTCCTGTCCCCTGGGCTTATTGCACTGGTGGAGGAAAGAGTAGTCTATGGGCCTTTCTCTCCTGTAATTAACTCTTTAGGTAATTAAGAAGCCTCAAACCTCAACAAGTGCAAGGAGGAAAACAGGCAAACAGCCCTGCCTGATCCACTCCTGTGTGCCCTGCCCAGCTCTGTGAGCTGCACGTGGTGGTAACTCCTGGGGAAAACAGCCTCAGGGCAACCTGGTGGGGGAAAAGACTCCGGACAGGGTCACCACCGTGCCAAGGCCAAAATAAAGGATTTCGGCCCCAGCGATGAGCCCCAGCGATGAGCCCCACTCCAACGGGAGCTCCAGGAGAGCTGCCAGTTGCAGTTGCAAGTCCTCCCTCTCTCCCAGCCCTCCAGAAATCCCTCCATTCCCACATCCTCGATAGGTTACTGCAGCACCCAGCTCTGAGAGAGCAAGCAACAGGGAAGGGCAACTGCAGATCCAGCGGGCTGCTACGGCTCCCCCAAAACCAATGGTAACATTTCCACTGGTGGCAGCTGAAGGAGATTGGAGTTACAATGACAAGCCATGACAGCAGGGTCAAGGCTGACATCAGCAAAGATGTGAGCTGGCATGGGCACTAATGAGCAATAGCAAAGAGGTTTGGCACCCACAGCCAAACGTTCCCTAGTCCCCCCCGAGCACCCCGGCCCTGTCTCTGCCTCATTGCACACAAAGGTCTAATCCTGAACTTTCAACTTCATGGGTTTCCAAACCTAGAAGCTAGATGTGATGAAATCCTCCCCTGCAGAAAGCAGTTAGAGACAGTAAATAAGCTGCTGTGCTAGTGTAGGAGCAGCATCACCCAGCAGGCGCTTCCCCGTGGAGGAGGTGGACATGCAGGACCTGCACTGGGGCCCCGGGCACAGCGCTGGGGGTTGGCGGGTGGAAGCAAAGCCTCACTCCCCGCTTCCTGCTGCCCGCGAGACGGGAGGGTGGTGCTGAGTCAAAATGAAGGCAACAAGAGCCACAATGAGCAGAAGTGAGGCTGGGACTGTGGAGGGTCTCTGAGGGATGAAAAACCCATAGCAAATAACAAGGCTTGCAAATTAGTCCTACTTAATAAAAATATGTGAATAAATTAACTTTACCTGCTGGTTAAATCTGTTCAGTATTTCTCTGTGGCACCACTAAGCAAACCCTGGCGAGGCAGCTTACCTCTCGAGCACATAATATGTTACCCAATAATGGGTAACATTTCCTATTTTGTCACGCCTTTATCTTGCTGAGGAACAACACCTCTCAGGAAAGCAAAGCAATTTCCAGCAGTTCTACCTCCCACCAGTCCCCCTGCCCAGGGAAAGCATCGCAGCCCAATTTGGCACCAGGGAC